GAGTCCCGCATCGGGGTCCCTGCTCGGCAGGGAGTCTCCTTCTCCCCCTGACCCTACCCCCCTCATGTGCTCTCTCTCATTCACTCTCTCTCAAATAAATAAATAAAATCTTTAAAAAAAAACAAAATGAAAAGAGATACAGAGTCCTGGAGACCTTTATGTTCTGGATCCACTTATTCCTAAGGCCCAGTCCCTATGTCCTGTATCCCTTTTAAGGCACTTACTACTGAAATTCTGTCACTTGGGAACAAAATATATATTGTTCAATGACAAAAGCAAAATAACGTGATCCAATTTTGTTTAAAAAAAATGCATCTATGTATGTGTTGAGGAAAATATGGAAGCATCTAGAGTGAAGTTTCAATAGTAACTATTTCTAGATGGTGCATCTCAGGAGCAGTTCTCTGAATTTTCTAAATTTTGCCCAGTGACCATGTATTTATTACTTGTATAACAAAAAGCTAGCAGCAGAGATTTTGTTAGCTTTTTACATTTTTATTTTTCTCAAAGAGGTACACATGTACAAAGTTTAGATATTTAAAGGTTTTATTTTTTTAAAGATTTTATTTATTTATTTGACAGAGAGAGAGAACAAGCAGGGGGAGCAGCAGACAGAGGGAGAAGCAGACTCCCCACTGAGCAGGGAGCCCGATGCAGGACTCGATCCCAGGACCATGAGATCATGACCCGAGCTAAAGGCAGTCACTTAACCAACAGAACCACCCAGGCGCCCCTAGATATTTAAAGCTTTTAATGAAAAACAGTAGTGCTCTGCCCCATCCCCAATTTCTATTCCAACAGTGGCATCCATGTCTAAAGCAATCAAAAAGATTATTTGGAGAAAAACATGGGTTATTGGAAATAGGTCTTTGGAAATGCAGTTTGGGAATGTTCTGTGAGTCAGATCAGGGCATCCTTGCTATAAACGTAACCATTAGTTAGGGCAAAAGCCTGATGACTCCTCAAAAGGCAGGGCTGAATTCAGACATTGGCTCTCCCCACTCCCATAGAGGACCCCTTGAATCCCTGTAGGCAGAGGGAACTAGGAGGAGGGTGGGTGGGGACACTGCAGAAGCCTCTCTGTCCCTCTCTGTCTGAGGCCCAATATGGACCCTGCTGTGACCATCCTACCTCCCAAGGAAAGAAGCTTCAAACACGTTCTTGACAGAAAGTTGCTGCTGAAAACTCTTTGTCATGTCCCCCCCGAAATCCCCCCTACTTTGTGAACCCATTTCATCTCGAGTTTTTCTCTGGGGAAACCAATAACAGTTGCATTTCCATCCAGCCCCACCCCCCATATTTTTAGTTCTTTCGCCCTCCAAGGCTAATAAGTAGGTCTCATATACTTACAGACTTTTCAACTAAAATATTAGGAATTCTTGTTCTCTTCATAGGAAAATATATTGTTCTAAATAAAAAGTACATTCATGAGAGCACACTTAGAAAATACAGGAGCGTGTGTGTCCACAGCCCAAACTTCCAGATAATTCCACGGCTTGTCTCAGCGGGCCATGCCCAAGTAGTTTCTACCCCCAAAATGTAAATCCTTCCATGGGCTTTTTCTGTTAGCAAAGATGCAAAGTCATTTCTGTTTTCTTACAGTTCTTGGGGGGAAAAAAAATCAATGTGAGAGAAATCACTTTATATATCTTGAATGTTGACCTTTAAGATTTCTCATGTTAGCCTGAGTAGCTCACATTTTACTATGGTCATTTTGGAGCGGCTGTTTTGAACCCTGTCATTGTTTGGACATTTACACCATTTCGTGACTCTTTAAGAACAAACCATTAAATAAATGTTCAACTTTTCCTTATTACCAAGTTACGACACTCACCCCTCCCTGAGCCTCATCCTACCCCATCCCTGAACTTTCTCCAATCCCAGACTTCTATCCACCCCTATGGGGTCATTCGGGGAAGAGGGATGCAATGAAGGTGATAAAAGCAGGTTACTTGGTAACTTATTCTTTTATAAAAAAAAAAAAATGCTAAAGGTTCAAGGCTCCTCATTCTGTTCTCATTGGAATGTATCAGTGGCCACATCACAATGGTTTTTCAAAATATTCCTTCAGTCAACACACCCAAAAGTGAAATTAGGGCCCAGGGCCCCAGAAGATCCCTGAAGGAAGAAGTCCCAATGTTGTTTGACAGCAACTGAAATCTGCATAGTGGTATCCCCTAAGGGAATTTGCACACTTTTTTCCCTTTATTTTTTAGGTTTTGTGGAGAGAAACTACTGGTCAGAAGAATTCTACCCAGTGACCTAAGCTCATAGTGATGTCCTTGTTACGGCCTGACCCTGCCTGACTCAGCTGTTGAGCAAATGTGATGGTCCTCATGACTTCTGTCCCTCCCATCCTCCCTCCGCTTCCACATCCTCTTCCCGAACCAGCAACTGCGGACACCTTAGAGAACTGGAAAAATGCCATCCCAGAAAATCAACCACCTGTTGACTGCCTTTCCTGAACTTTAACCCCCCGCACTCAGTAAAGCATGTTAGCCAGAGCGACCCACTGTTCTGCTTGACTTGTCCAAACTGGAATGCCACATAGTGACAAAGGGCATATGCCAAAATAAAACACACTCTACAACAAAGAAAACCTTTCTCCCCTGCCTGTGGCAGGAGACCCGCCCACACACACACACACACACACACGCACACCAGCACACACACATATCGGGTAGAGAAATAAAGTCCCAAGTTGAGAAGAAAAAGGGAATCCTTTAAAAAAAAAAATAAGCCTCTTGTGTTACAGACATTCCTTTGTCTCCCAGCCTTTCCAAGTGGCAAATGGCACCTTCAGTCATGCTCCGTTGAAGCTCATCAATGTGCTTTATTCATCACCATGGGCATGCATGGGAGGAGTGTGGCGGTGAGACAAGGGGGTGTGAAGGGAGGTGCAAAAGAGCAAAGAGAGAAGGATGGAGAAGAAATTGGAAGAAAAAGAAAGGAACATATTTTTTTTTAATATTTATTTATTTATT